ACGTTAAGAGTTCTTTGAGGAATATAAAATCACCAATTATTTAGTTCGAAGCTGCTGAAAATTCTTTAAGAGCTATAAACTAATATTACAAAATAAAACAACTAAAAGTAAACTAGCCCCATAGCTTGAAAACAATTAAGCGTAAAGAATAATAAAACATAAAACTACGGATGCTGGATATTAATAAAATGCGAAAGGGAAACTTGGCAAGTAAAACTAAGTGCTTTAAAATTTACGAACTAAAACAATTAACTATAATATTAATTAAGCAAGATATACGATCAATAAAACAATGAGATGTCACTAAGAGGTTCTACTTATATATATTCATACTAAGATAAAAGAGATTTTATAAGGGTTCATATTATACTAGCATATAAAACAAAAACAAATCTATCCCACGAGAATCCAACATTTTTCGGGATAAAACGTAGCCTATGCGTTATTCTGATGTATGAGTTATGTTGTTGTAAAGTTTCATTAAAACCCATTCAGTAGTTTTTGCGTGAAAGAGTAACAAACATACATACATCTATCCATGCATCTATACATCCAGACATCCATACAACCATACATCCACCCAAACTTTCGCATTCATAATATTAATATAGATTATAAAGGGCCCTGTCGTTTTCTCTCTTGAAAGATATTATCTTAGCTTTAACAATATAACAATAATTAAGAGATTTATTCACATAATTTATAGGCCTGTTACCCTTTTGTGTCTTGGAGATTTTGTAGGTATTTTGTTAATTGTAATACCAAATATAATCAACTAGCTAAAATTTACGGTTCTACTTATTTTATTAAATTAAATTTCACAATATTTACCGATACTAATATTATTAATGCGAAAGTTTATGAGGATGTATGAATATCTGAATGTCTGGATGTATAGCTGTATGGTTAGTTGTTACTCTTTCAGGCAAAAACTACGTAATGGATTTTAATGAAACTTTACAATAATATAGCTCATTTATCAGAATAACACATAGGCTACTTTTTATCCCGAAAAAAAATCACGGTTCCCGTAGGATTGATTTGTTTGTTTCTCTAGAGGCGAACTTGAGCGAAGCGAGGGTGAACCGCTAGTTTTATATAAATTCAAATTTAATTTTACATATAACGTTTATAAAAAATTATACCTTTCTATAGGAAATAAAATATACTGACTAACGATTAAATAAATATCTAACATAAATTTTATGTTATCTATATTTTTTGATTGATGTGAAACATAACGATCACATACGTTATTATTCGAGACTCGACCTCATTTTGCTTATGCTCTAACAACCCTACACGAGTCCTTTAGTAACTTTTCTACTAAAACCTAATATAATGGCCCAATTAGGATAAGCATATACAAGCAAATCCGATTTTTGGTAAAAAATAATAAAATACTATTATTAACTTTACTTACTGGGCTCATTTATCTGTGCTTCTAAATTTTTAACAATTTTTTGATATTCCTTCAGCTGTTTATGTTGCTTTTGACATATTTCAGTGATCCGTTTTAATTCGCTTCTAGCTGCGTAAAATTTCTTCGTCTGAAGGTAAAATATTTATTTAATATCTATGTCATTATAATGTTGATGATAGGATTGTGTATTATATTATATAACTAGCATCGCCCGCGGCTCCGCCCGCGTTCAGATGACCAAAAACCAAATTCTTAGGTTTTACATATTAGTATACTCTTACATCGCAGTTTTTGTATTTTTTTCTCAGAAATGAGACATTTTCCCACGGCTATAAGTATCCTATATGTTGACCCGGATAACCAGCTATCACCATACTAAATTTCATCAAAATCCCTCCAGCGGTTTTTCTGTGATCCGGTAACAGACAGACAGACAGACGAAAATTCTAAAAACTATAGATTCGGCCTTTGTATCGATAATAATGTTTATTTTAATAAGATTTTCCAAAAAAATATTTAATCTACAGTTTCGGCTTAGTTCGAAATTTATTATATGTATTATAGATAAAAATCAGTTGGTTGATATATGTACCTAAAATCGGCGTAACTAAGTTCATTTATGTATTTGAGTAACATAAATTCCCTCCCTCGGTTTTTTTTTTTAAATTTTATTATATTTAATATACATACTTATTTACGTAAAACGAACTCAAGCCGTATTATAGATTTACTAGATGAAATGAAGCGAAACCTAAATATGGCCTAAATTGCGCTATAAAAATCCCGTCCCTTTCATTGGTATTCAGGCAATAATATTAAAAACTTCCCTTGGCTTAGAAATATAATTTTTGTATCTTTTTAATGTCAATGTTAATGTGATTTTTGCGCCAATTGTGAATCGATTATAAAACTTTTAACTATGTGAGAATTTACCGCAAGAATATCTCCATCTGAATTTTACAAAAAAATACTCTTTTAAGGCATATGGCAACTATTTCATTAAAGTTATTTGAAAGTTGATTTAGCCTTTTTATTGTAAGAATCTCTAAAATATAAGTTTGACCACATTATAATTTTATATATAACACTTTAAATATCCACTATAATTAACTCCATAAATTCGCATCATTTTGAAGAGTTGTCAAAGTTTTACTTAAATTTTTGCCCCTCTTTACAGTGTAAAATAATATCACAGAAACAAATGCCTGCCCATCAAGTCTAAGCAAATTGCGCAGAAACATTTTCTTTTGCACGAAGGAATTTAATAAGGTCGGACATTTGAAAAGAGCCCGAAATATTAAAGGTAGGGTGTTAATGAGTTGAAGATAATTAAGTTCTGGAGGCCATAATTAATGATTTTATCAGCGATATGTTATGTTATTTAGATACAATAAATTCTGCATACAGCTCATTTTATATATTATCATAATAAAACTATAGGTAAGAGTAAGGAATGTACAAAAATATTTTTAGTGCATCACTTTCCAAAAACTTTGTTAGAAAAATATTCTGACTTTTAGTCTAAAAGTCTTGACAATGGTAAAATGGATTTTTATTTGATGTAGGTCAATCAAAATCTTTAAAATTTAGCTAATAATCAGTTAAGGTTTTATAATTTCTATTAACGTCTTATTTTACATAGCTACCAATAATATTTTTAATTTATTATAAAAAAAATAAGTACATATTGCACAAATTTGTGAAAAAATCCTTGGGTTTTCCATCGCTCAGACAAACTCAATCGCTCCTTAACGTTACTTGATTGCTAAATTGGCCGAATGTCAATGTCTAGCTAAATTAAAGAGGATATAGTTAATTGCCAAAGCTACCATTTACGGGTTAAATGTCACAGAGTAAAAGTCCCTTGGTATCGTTTTGTAATTGTCAAAGCGAACGGCTAAGTGTATTTATCACTTAGATCTTGTTACGTAATTAAGACTTCAAATTAATTCGTTATTTTCTTCTTAATACAGATATTTGTAATTAAATATTAGTATATTTATCGTGTATTGCATATTTAATAGTAAAATGTTCGAGCCTATTAACATCTAACGTTTGTTCTTAAGCGACAACAAAAAGCCAACGTATCTACTGCATCATTGTCATTTTATTTAAAAATTCCCATAGTTTTAGTCAATTATATTAAATCATAATCTTACAGTACTTATATGTTAAAAATTATGGGAAATTATATGAGAAGTCATAAAAAATACAAATAGCTTTACCGACTGCAATAAGTAAGAGAGTAATCGCCTTCTATGCTGCTTCTGAAACTGTAAAACTTCGCAGCTCTTTTTAATTAATTCTTCTGGGTCTGTAAAATAATCTTGGACTTCTTGGTTCATCTGCAAAATAAAAGTATAGACTTATATTTTTAAAACTTCATTAAAAGTTGCCTTAAAAGTAAACTTACATCTGGAACAAGTTTCATAATAGAGCACGGCGCCCGACAGACTAAGCAAGTGCCTTCTTTAGTACCTAAAACATATTACGTATTTGTAGTTAATGGAAAGTTGAAACTGTCGATATTATAATATAGACATTATATTCATTGATTAAGTGAAACAAAACATACCATTATTAAGACAATTGTTGCAAAACATATGTCCACAAGATGTTAAATGTAGAGCTATGCCCGGTTCCAACTGAATAAAACAATTATTACAGTGAATCCAATCCATTTTTACACAAAATAAAATATTTTGTATTAAGCAGATGATATTTTAAAACAACATATTGTTTTATGTAATTTACATATGTTTTGACAAGTGTCCGCCATTTTGAATTTCTTAAGTTTTTTATAATACCGTTAATTAATAAACGTGTGAGGTATTTTATAATACATTAATGTTGCACGCATTTTTTTATTATATTTTTTCGATTGCCAATAACAATGTATTTCATTATAAATAATATTTCATAATAGTTGTATGAAAAAAAAACAGTAACATTCATTAGAAAACTTTGAATATTATATTTGTATTTTACTTTATTATAGAGCTTTATAGGTAGTATGTGACAAATTTTGCTAAAATATTGTAAAAACGCCAATTTAATTTGTTTGTGTCATATATATTAAGATAAGATATACTTATAACTAAATAAAAAAATATCTAAGAATTTAAATTATCCCAGTATATTTTACTTTTAAGATTTTTATGAGTAAAGTTGCTAAATAATTGAATTTACGCGAATGTTGAATTGAATTATTAAATAAAATCAAAATAAATCCGCGAAATAATCCAAAAATATAGTTTTATTTAATAAATTATTGAATTTAATATCCAATGCCGGTATGAAGTATACTGAATTCATGATACTTATATGTATAATTTTAATTTTAGAAAATTTTAGATAACATGCAAATCTATTACTTCTTAGCATACTTTACGAGTATGCCTATAATATCAATACTCAAAAACAACTTTACTGAAATAACATTTAATTGTTTATTAAAGTTTCGAATGGACTAAATATATATACTCATACTTACAGTTAGGTACAATAAGATAGCACAAGTACGTGAATATATAAAAGAAGCTGTGATTTCAACGTCCAGTCGTGTTTACATTCGCGCATGGTCGCCCGCCTGACCATGACTTTGAAATACATAATAGTTTTGATAGCTTTGATCAGTGTAAATGTCTCTTGCAAATCAACATGTATGTTATGATAAGTTATATTTTTTTTAATAATATTGTGTTAACACTTTTGATGTGGCTGTATTTTTTTATACTTATGCATTAAATTTTGGCGCGTCAATTTATTTATATAGGTTTTTTTTAATTAAACATGGCGATATTTTAGATAAATAAGTTATTAAAACACAATTTTTATATAGCGTTATGACGTGATAATTTTACTAGTATTCACAATGTATCTTTGCAATATTATTTATAAATTCACCGTTTTTAGACAAAATATGCGTGCCGGCACCATATTTGAAGGCCTGCGAGGCTATGCTTGAAGTACCTACAAAGAGCAAGGCTGTTTTGGAATGTATTCCGGCGAGGGATAGGTAAGACAACATTACATTTACCTATTTGATTACAAATACGAAATATTACCTTTAAGAAATATCTACCTACTTCAATATAAAATTTTATAAAATATCTTTATAGCGAAAAGATTTATATTATTTCCGCGCGCGAAAAATTTTTTTTGGTCAAACCAAGAAATCCATTTAAATAACGAAGTTAAAACAAAGTTAGTCTGTTAAGACAGTTTATCATTGTGACATTTATTGGGTGCCCAGTAACCACTAATTATATTACCTTTAAGATTTGACGCACTTTATTCCTGACGTTATCCATTAGTTTCGTCCCAACTGCGGTAATTGAGTTTTGTATATCTTCTCATTTTATTGATTTAGAATAAAATATGCATATATCTAAAATATTATATTTCACGTTAAAACAATCATGAGATTAGATTTTTCTGTTTTTACAACGTTATATTCTCAATAATTGCCATTAATTCTTACTAATCTGTAACTGAAGTTAATTTATTTATAATGTTACTAAATATTAATTAGTTACTAACATTTTTTTATTATTAATAATGACTTTTCGATGATTGAGCAGTTCTTACTTTGATTTATTTATAGGGAGACATAATATTCATTAAAAATAACCAAATCAAGTTTTTATTTTTTATAATTTCAAAATATCGATACATGAATTCTAAAAAAAACATTTAACGTAACGTAAGTTAACATTTAATTTTTAATATACCATATACATAATAAAAACTTTAAAAATATACTTAAATATTTATATAATTTCAGTAGCAAAAATCCCTTTATATTTTAGACATTTTAATATAAAATGAAAACTTTAACCGCAACAAGGAACAATATTCGCATTGTCGCGACCAATACTCGTATGCCATTTTTATTCCACCTATAAACCTACGTGCTCCGAATGTGGTAACGTAGCACGTAAAACTTTTATCTTTATAAAAATAAAGCCTTTATATAAAGCACGATAAGGACTAAAATGCCTTTCAGTCAATGTCATACATAAAACATTCGCATATTCTGCAATGATGGTAGGAAATAAATCTCACTTTATCTTACAATCTGTCCTTAGAGGCTTCTGAACGTCCTAATCAATTGTATGGGAATATTGAAAGATAAGAACAAGCAATTGTTATATATTTACAAAGCTTAGTTTGTAACTCGTTGAACATGAAAGACATGAAAAAATATATCTTTTTGATAAATTCTAAAATTAAAAAATAAGTAACCGATATCAAAATATTTTTTCAAATTTGAGTTTTAATAAATTAATTATTTAATATTTAATAATTTTCATCATAAAATTTAAATATTATGTAATAAGTTCGAACGAAGCAAATGCACTGACTTCAGCTCCTTTGGGAGTTATTCGTCCAATTTCGCAAAGCCTTGAATGAACTTGATCTTGATCACGTTCAATCCTCAATTTATCTAAATTGGATGAGATAGAGCGAAATTTATAACTTCCTTCTTTACTCTATTTCTTTTAAAATATTCGCAATATAATAATATTGTTAGAATATATTTTTAAATGAAAACTTTTGTGTAAAAATTACTAAGCACATTTATTCAAAGCCAAAACAAAGGTTACTAGGCGAGATACTTACCATAAATACCAAACAGTGTTTATTCAAAAAATATTAATAATGCGACCACGTCTACCTTTGGGGTCTAGATTTTGAGATTAACTTTTTTTAACACTAAGCCAAAATATTATGTTGTGAACATAAGTCTTTTTGCCCATAAATATAATATATGTAGAATTTATTAAGAATTATTGTGTATTACCTTAATAGTTCAATTTGTTACGAAGTCACTGTTACGTGCAAGTAATAGGACAAATTATATTTATTCCTAAAGTAATATATTCAAGTTAATTTTAACATAGAGGCGTCTAGTTTACAGCTTAATTAAATTTCAGGATGGAATGTCTGTCATTCGTGCAGCAAAGACAGGCGGACTTTGTTCCAGTGGACCCTGAGGATATGTATGTAGCTTCCAAAATACCTAACCAGGATTTCGTAGTATTCCAAGAGTACAGGACCGACGATGAACCTGACGGTATGTATTTTACCCATATTTAAACATTACAAGAAAAAAACATTGCTGAATATTTTTTATGTATCGAAAATATACCAAAACTAAATTTATCCTACTAATATTGTAAATGCGAAAGTTTATGAAGATGTATGGACTATGGATGTCTGGATGTATAGATGTATGGATGTTTGTTACTCTTTCACGAAAAAAGTACTGAATGAATTTTAATGAAACTTTACAATAATATAGTTTATACATCAGAATAATATATTGGCTATTTTTTATCCCTAAAAAATATATGGTTCCCGTAGGTTAGATTTGTTTTTATTTTTCTAGAAGCGATCCCGAACAAAGCGAGGTAGAGGCGCTAGTATGGAATATTTATACTGTCGTCACTAAAAATTATATAAATCATACAACCTTTAAGGTTGGTCTTATTACCTTTTTAATTTAACTGATTGTAATTTCATCAAGAGTTGACTTTCTCTATTTCGTAACTTTAACGTTGTCAAGATAATGTTTATGACCTTATAAAAACTTGAAAAAGATTACTTTTTATCAACGTAAACTGTCGTTACGAGAATATAACTCGGTCTTGATAACTTCCCACAGATCAAATAAAAACAAAATATCAACGATTTCATCCGTACATTGACCGTACAAAGTTTCGTAACTAACCAAACATGCTGAGAATTAAATAGGCGAATTCATACACAAGTATGAAGTAATATATTGAATGGGAGATAGGAATGGTTATTACATGAGACGAGATGAGGAACTCGGTGGAACTTGTTTGACTAATAGATTGGAATTAATTTAACTGAATGCCGCTTATTACCTACTTGCTATTCGTATCATGCTCCAGACGTGCGATGATAAGCGTATCAGTAATATAACGTGTATTGGATGATCTATAGTGCTTACTAGCATTGCCCGCGGCTCCGCCCACGTTCAGATGACCAAAAACCAAATTCTTAGGTTTTAAATATTAGTATACTCTTACATTGCAGTTTTTGTATTTTTTTCTCAGAAATGAGACATTTTCCCGCGACAAAGAGTATCCTATACGTTGACCCGGATAACCAGCTATAACCATACCAAATTTCATCAAAATCCCTTCAGTGGTTTTTATTTGATACAGTAACAGACAGACAGACAGACAGGTAAAAATTCTAAAAACTATAGATTCGGCCTCTGTATCGATAATAATGTTTATTTCAATAAGATTTTCCAAAAAATATATAATGTACAGATTCGACTTAGTTAACATTTTATTATACGAGTATGTATAGATTACCTTTATTGTTTTGTTCACACAAGAAAATGTACTTCAGTTGTAACTATTGGCATGTTGGTTTTAATATAACCTCTTTGATAAACTACAAAAAAAAGGTTCTTCAATTTGTCAGACATTTTTTGTATGGTACGAAAATATCTATGTCAATAGTGGATCGATTTGGATAATTATTACTTTAATATATCAGAAGGTTATTCCCATATCAAAAGAAATTAACCCCTAAAGTTTGAATAATCAGACCACTATTATTTATATATTAATAGGCAAAGACAAAACGTTTATACCCATAGACAAAATTATATTTTTCTCTGCTGTTGTGAACTGTTTTTTTTTTAATTTGTTGAGTAGCTATTGAAGAGATTTAGTCTTATCGGTAAAAAAATGATCATGTTTATAATATTCATGTCGTATTGTATTTTAAAATAATACTAATCACTTTCCCTCGTTTCGCTCGGGTGCTTCCCTAGGTACGTAATATGGGGTTGCTACAATTTAATAGATCTTTTTAAGAGGAATAATTTTGTAATACATTATTTTCAATTTAATATTACAATAATTTAAAATTTAAAGCCCCCAGTCGGCTCAGATTTATCCGACATCTTCAACGATTATTGTCATATTTCAACCAATTTACACAAAACCTTAATTAATTATACATCTAAACTTTCTTCATGAATCACTCCATCCATTGGTGAAAACCGTATAATAAACCTGTTTGGTCAATTTCGAGTTTATCGCGTTCAGACAGACAGATAGACGTGGCGGGGGAGGCGACTTTGTTTTGTAATATGTTGTGATGTAAGTCTGGTTATTATTTATTTATACTCAGATAAAATTTCAAAGATATTTTTATCAAAGGTCAAATTAACATCAATAAGTCTTTACGTATAACAACTTTCATTATTTACATTCGAATTTAATTTTAATAGGTGAAAGTAGGTATTATTGTTATAAAACACTCACTCTTATCATTTGATTGACTTTTTATCGGGCACTCAGGTCAATAGTACTCTACTATAAATAGATTTCAAATATGCTTGTAGGCCCACTAAATAGTTTAGCCTATGAGTGCATGTTAGTTTTAATTGAAAACGTTTATCCTCTCGATAATAGATCATCCTATTGATTGAATTTTATTTTATAACTAGCGACTCACCCTCGCTTCGCTCGGGTTCGAACTCAAGTTCGTACGATTCGAACGTGCGTTCGCTTGATTCCCCAATCCCTAAACAAACTTACACCCCCATTTTCACTCCCTTAAGGGATGCTTTCCGTGATAAAAAGTAGGTATCTTATGTCCTTCCCAGGGTCTCAAACTATTTTGAACCGATTTAGATGAAATTTGGTAAGAAGATATTTTGAGACCCTGAGAAGGACATAGGATACTTTTTATCCCGGAAATCATCCCTTAAGGGGGTGAAAATAGGGATGAAAGTTTGTATGGGGAAGCAACCTAGGGACGAACCCGAGCGAAGCAAGGTGAGTCGCTAGTAGCCTAGCTAAGATATAAAAATTTCGTTTTTTAGAAAAGACACCTACATAGATAAATTTAAAAAGCAAAACCTTATCCTAAATACAAAATTTTATCCAAATCGTTAGAGCCGTTTCCAAGATACACGAAATTATAATACCTACAAGATTTGCTAATTTAGTATTTACCACATTACCTACTCTTTGTTACATACATATATTACTTAGAAAACATAAATTTAAAAATATTCTCTTGTACCTCAAGTAAAATTGCGTATTATATGAACAGCTGCTGCATACATTATGCTATGGTTCTCTTGTACCAAATCTGAGCACACCGCTCTGTGTATCTTCTGTTTTAGGCACGAAATGTAAATATTTGCATTTCTAAATTTCCAATTAAGTTTAATTTTAGCCTAGCACAAATACTAATCTTTTTTAAAAGAAATCCTGTCTATACTCTCAAATTATAGTATTATGATGTAAAATGGGATATTTACCATGTTTTTCACTTACTTTTGAGAGTTTCCAAAATTTCAGCACTATTACAAACGCCATGGTCACGTGTATAACCTTGGCACTTTACATACCACTATATCCCTTTACACACATAATATGGCGTTTTATATAATAATAATATTTTCAGTGACCATGAAAGTTTAAAGTTTTGACCATATATTTATTAGAAGTAAAATATTAACTAAAAATTTAAAATGTGCTAATATTAATTATGGCCTAAGCAAATTTGAATATTCATATTAAACCAACGCTTGTCATACACTTATGAAATTACAGCATAGTAAGTATATGAGACATTAGAATGCTAAGCGCGCTAGATAAAGCGGTTAATTCACCCACCCTTTCAGACCCTAAGGTATAATATTCCTACAGACAAAGTTAAAAGATAGACATTTACCATATATTTATGTCTCTTCATACAAACATTCATCAAATCATATTATGTTTAGTTAAGTTTAAAATGCAGTAATTTTTGTCATTCGGTTTTTGGAGTTTTAAAATAAAACGTAAAATTTTTACACTAATTATAATATCGCATACACAAAATACAACAAACATATAAAGTTCTTTAAGTGCTGATTTTATAATAATTCTTAATTAACCGACTTCCAAAAAGGAGGAGGTTATCAATTCGCCGGAATCTTTTTTTTCTTTTTTTTATATATGTTCACCGATTACTCGAAGACGCCTGAACCGATTTGGATTTTTTTTTGTTTCAAAGGGTATACTTCCCAGATGGTCCTATATAAACTTTATTGAAATCGGTCGAGCGGTTTTTTAAAAAATCAACAATAAATATATTTTTTAAATAAATTGTTTAATCGAATATGTTATTAAAAAACTTTCTCCTTACAAATTACCTGCTTATTATGTCTACACTAAAAATAGAAAAATAAAAACTTAAAAAAACCGACTTCCAGGCATTTAAATGAAAAAATAACTAAACAGGGTTTTTCATTTAGAATAGATACCTAATCTGATATTTTCGAAGTCGGTGCCAGCCGACAATATTTTAAGATATGAATATCTAATAGCTAAATACGTATTTTACGTCTCGAAATATATTAGATTTGCTTTGCATCGCTTTGATTAGTATTTATGAGATACAAGCAGTAGTGTATTATATATAATAGGTGACACGGAATCTTACCGAATAAATTCATATATGAGAACTATAATATTTTGCCTAGAGAGTGGTTTCATATACAGCTCGCTCGTAACGTTTTTACGAGTGAATTGAACCTTTTCAATAAATAAACTGAAATATAGATAGAATTTTTAAATCTCACTGGTTGTTTCAGAGATTAAAGCACATTAATACAAATGAAAAAAAACCTAAAGAGGTTACCTATATAGTATATATTATTTTACATATACATACATATACCTATACATGTCGTTTTCACTCAAACAAAGTCAGGCTAATCATATTAGTATATATTATTTGTTAAATCATCTTATTCCGCTATACGACTAGACGTGCTATTTATACTTGCTGGCTTATTGCTTAATTATTTACCTTGAATAATCACTTTTGTGTGGTATGCGAAAATTAAATATTATGCACCAGCAATTTTATAATTTTATTGGTTGTTTTTATTGTGTCGTTATAGAGGAAAAACGAGCAATCAAACAAATAAACGTTATATATAGCACGTAATTTATATTTATCAATATACAAATAAGCTACATACATATGTATATCTAACTAGTCCCTAAATAAATATTTGTTACT